CAGGGTTAGGCCGTTCTAGGCCTTCTGGTATCAGCATCTGGAGGTAGAACTCTCCTTTAGCTTCATGTCTTTTCTTGGTTCCTCTTGGGGCCCGGGGTAGTTTCCTGAGTTTCTCTGTCACCGCTTACTACTCAGCTGTAGAAGAGGTTTCTTTTGGTATACCAGCTTTTAAGCTGGAAACCCTTTCCTAGAAACCTGTGCCTTTGCCCGATCCTCTCGTCCTATCCTGGTTCCTTGTGAGAGGAATAGCTTGCTTTGCCTGATGTGGACTTAGCAGGATTCTCTGCCTGGACCGAGGAGAAAGGTGATGTGGCTGATCACTTGTTCCCTAGGAGGAGGCAAAGTACCTAACTAGGCATCCAGTTTTAAGGAGCATAGAAAGAGGTATAATTTGGGGCAGAAAACCAATTTCATACTTTAGTCTCCTTGAGAAATAGATGGACACTATGATTATCACCACTTTTCATAGCAGAGGAAAATGAGTTCAGGTGCTCTTCTTTATCCCTAGGGTTTGACATGTTATTGCAGAATAAAACTGAGCTGAGTTTGGGTCCTAATTATGATACTTAATGGTTTTTCGTTTGTTTGTTTGTTTGTTTTTGAGACAGGGCCTCACTATGTAGCCCAGGCTGGTCTTGAACTCACAACCACCCTCTTGCCTCAGCCTCCTGAGTGCTAGGATTACAGGCGTGCGCCACCACACCCAGTTTAATTCATATAGGACATGACAGAGAATAGGAAGAAATATCTTGGTTCTGAGATCTGTTCTAATTGTTCTACTCAGTATTATGTGTTTTCCTTCCGCGAAATGTTGAAGTTAAAATTAATTGTATGTGTAAATGCTTGCTTTGTGAAGCAGTTTCATGTGACATAAGCTATATATTATGTTAACCATAAAGCTAATAGTTACAGACGTCCTTAAAAGTGCCCTGGTCTTTTTTCCCCTCCTTGGTGCTGGGGAGTGAGTGCACAGCCTCACTCATGGGGGTGGGTGGCATCACAGCTGGAATTGTCATGTATGGCTACTGTGTTTTACAGGCCACTCTGCGTATTTTCTCTCCTGTACATATGCAGCAGTTTATATAAAATAAGTGGAGCCAAGAACCGACAGTGTGTGAGTAGCTTTTTCATTATGGCCAAATCAAATCACAGATACACACCTGTCAGATTTGGCACTTTTCCTTCTCTAGCATATTCCTAGCTACCTGTTAAGGACCAGACACTGTACCTACCTGCTTCTTTCTGTCTACTTCAAGCTTACTGTGCTATGAGTTCTTCTCCATCCACCAATTCTAATCTTAGGTTTGTAGAGCAAATGCAGGCCATCAGTACATAACCACAGACATTTTTGCTAAAAGAAAAACATTTTTCTCATTAGTTGGCATGTATAAGCTAGTAGAATGTAATCACTTGGCAGGCAGGAGTTGGAGGTGTTTGTGTAAACATAGAAAAGTCTGTTTGCTAAAAATAGGTAGCTGGCCGGGGATTTAGCTCAGCGGTTCGGTGGCCTGCCTTGCAAGCGCAAGGACCTGAGTTCAATCCCCAGTACCAAAAAAAACCCCAAAAAACAAATAGGTAGCTTCAGTGAATGTTAAAAAATAGCCAAGTTTATTATTAAAATAGAAGAAAATATTGTATCATGTATATCATACTTTGAATTCTGTCAGTGAGTTCATTTGCATGATGTGGTTGAGGAAGTGCCATGGATGGTAACTTCCTTCAGGTTTCTGTCCTTGCTTCTCAGCTGATGGGATAATTAAAGGGCAGGGAAGAGGTGTGGAGATTGCAGTCAAGCCATGGAAGTGGATTGAAGCCGTTTACTGAGTCAGGTTTTCGGATTTGGCCGCATGTGGGTGGCAGTGGGGTGGTTGAGATGGAAGCGTACTGGAGGGAGGGTGAAGAAACAGTGTAGTTTCATGTGTGCTCAGGGGAACTGTGCTGCACAGGTAAAGAAGCTTAAAAGAATCAGCTGTAGATATTCACGTAGGAGTCAGTAGCTTCTACATGTTGATTTTTTTTCCCTGGTACTGGGGATTGATCTCAGGATTTAGTGCTCGTGAGGCAGGCGCCGTGCCACTGAGCTCAATCCCCAGCCCTACATGCTGATTGTTCATTGAACATTGATTACCAAAGTAAAATGTACCACCTTCGATATTTTAGAGGTGAACATATAAATCCATTCATTACCTTGAAATCTCTAGGTAAATTCAGTTATAGTTCTATGAAAGAACTGTTTTTGATGAGTGGTGAAATTAAAAAACTGGCAACCATTTCTTAGCATGCTGTGCCCAGGAATCACAATGGTGGTATGTCCTGATTTCCTGCAGAGTCCCTTTTCTGTGTTTTTTTTTCTTTTTTTTTTTTTTTTTTGTATTTTTTTTTTTTTTTTTTTTTTTTTGGTACCAGGGATCAAACTCGACCTTGTGCTTGCAAGGGCAAGGCAGGCACAGTGCCACTGAGCTAAATGCCTGGCCTCCTTTCTGTGTTCTTAAGCATGGTTAGACCTGCCTGGCCCAGTTTGGAGCCACTGGCACTAGACTGGCTGAATGAGCCCTGGACCATGAGCCCTCTGCCTCCAGCATGTTGTCATCTCATTGTCCTCTTCTCTCTTCCCAGAGCATTTACATTTTCAGAAATGTTTCTTTGCTACAGTAGAGGGACTTGAGGAAGGGGTAGTATTAGGTACCTGTGGTTTGATTTGCTATCTTTATTGAGAAATAGGATTTGTTTTTGGGGGTGGTACTGGGGATTGAACTCAGGACCTTGCACTTTCAAGGCAGGCACAACGCCCCTGAGTTAAATCCCCAGCTCTGAATTACTTTTTTAAAAAAATTTTTATGGATTGGTTTTTATGATACTCATTAATTACTCATTTTTGAGTTGATGCCAGCTTTTTTTATTATTATGCGTGTAAGTGTTTATATAGCTTACATTTACTCATGGGATAGTCTTTTTTTATGTAGTTCATGCTGTCCTTGAACTTGATATGTAGCCCAGGGTGGCCTCCATCTTTCTGTCTCAGCTTCCCGAGTGCTGGGGTTACAAGTATGTGCTCCCACTTTCTGCAGGACATTCTGATCATATGCTTCAGTGTTAACAAAACAGGAAAAACTTGATATCCTCAGTTTGATTTGTTATAAATAATGGATTGGGAAAGCTTTACTTAAATTTGCCTCCTAATAACTGTGTCTATGTGGGAGACAGAAAAATGGAAGATGGAGGAAGAAATAGGTTTATGATTGTGGCTTTCAAGACACAAGAAGATATGCTGAATTTGAATCTAGAACCAAGAGAATGTATTTATATGGTAAACGGTCCTTGGATAGAAGGATACAGATTTTTAATTTGTCAAAGGTGGTGAATTGTATTTGGCAGAAAGTAAAAGAGGTACCATTAAAAAATAGTAGTTTGGCCATGAAGTTGGACACACCTGTGTTATAATAAAGATAATATGTACAGAAGGGAATTTTGTTACTTACATACATTAACTACATTATATATTTTATTTGCAGCCCAAGATAGTTCCTCTTCTGCTGGCTGTGGTGGTTCAAAGCCTGTAATCCCAGCACTTGGGAGGTTGAGGCAGGCACATCACTGTGAATTTGAGGCTAGCCTGGGGTACATAGTGAGTTCAAGGCCAGCCTGAATTACAGAGTGAGACCCCATCTCAACAAAAAACAAAACAAAACAAAAAAAAGAAACATAGAAAGGCATCTCTGGAGCTTTACACAGTCATAGGTTCATATTAATAGTAGTTATTGTTCACATTTAGCATATTTTCATTTAATCTTCATGTTTTCATGGCATTTTTTTACATAAAATACTGTGTCTGTTTTCTTCGTTTTTATAACCATCATTATAACAGCTTTATAATAATCTATCCAGGAGATATTTCTGCTTTCTATGGCAGTTTCTCTATTTTTAGACATTGTTTTCTGCTTCCAATTTTTTGGTTTTAAAAGAGTGTAATGTAATCTGCGCATACAGTTTATTCTATATTTAGAACTTTTCTTTTTAATTTAAAAAGAGCTGCCAGTGTTAAATTATTGGTTCCAGGTGTACTAATATTCTTATGAGTCTGTGTTCCATTTAGTATTTCACACTGCTATCAGTAATGTAAAATAAGCCCACTTTATTTGTGCTTTTGTCAGTGGTAGCATAATTTTGAATATTTAATGGATTGAAATTTTACCTTTTTGTTTTGTACTGGGGATTGAACTCAGGATCTTGGGCTTGTGAGGCAGATGTGGCACCACTGAACTAAATCCCTGGCCCTCACCTTATGTTTTTATATTTGAATTTTTTTTTTTTTTTTTTTTTTTTTTTTTTTTTTTTTTTTTTTTTTTTGCTTTTTTGAGACAGAGTCTCACTGCATAGTTGAGACTGACCTGGAACTCACTATGGCAGCAGGAAATATTTCCCACACTGTGCTTAGCATTTCTCATTTCTTTCTAACCCTTCTTGCTTCTCAGTTTAAATACTTTGTATAAGAAATCAGCATCATTTTGATGTTTGGATTCCTATTTAAGGTGAGAAACAACATTATAAATCTTTTAGTTTAAATGTATGTTATTCGGGTATGAAATACATTGCTGGCAGGTAGAGCTGGTGTTTATTGAGTCCTTCTCTCCATCTCTGTATTTACAGATATTGAGTAGTTTATTTAATCCCACCCACAGTTTTCTCAGGTAGGTAATATTAGGTCCACTCCTCAGACTGATAGGTGTGTAATGGTGTACCTTAAGAGGCACATAATGGTGAGTCCTGTTATTGTCCAATACTCAGTCTCTCTTCTGTTACTTGTTCCTGTTGGGTAGGACCAAGCTTTTAAGACCTATAGCTGATTTTTTTAATCGGTCACTGTAGGTGTAATGTGTCTGTAAAATTAGGGAGTTGTATCATATGCTAGCTTACATGCTTTTAGGTTAGCCTTTTTATAATTCTGATGTAGTTACATGAGATTTGGGTGAATACTAAATATAATGACTGTTTTCTTACAGACAGAGCCTCCTCTGAATACACCAGAAAATAGAGAATATCTTGCAGAAATTATGTTTGAATCATTTAATGTGCCAGGACTTTACATTGCAGTTCAGGTAAAAACAAAGTTATTTTTGTGATCCACAAATCAGTCTCTGGCAGAGGAAGAAATGGTGATTCTAAGGTCCTCTGTTGTAAGACTGAAGGCTGTGCTGTGTGTTCTTCCCTTTTCACTCCTTTTGCACACATGTGTGCACACCCACCACTGAGGTTTGAACTGAAGCACTGTGGAGAACGTGTTCCATGACCTGATCCTCCTGGTCAGCCTTGAGAATGCTGGGATTATCAGCATGCACCACCATGCCCAGCTCGCCTTGGCTTTCACAATTATATCATTGTTATAGACTCTGCCTCTTTTTTTTTTTTTTTTTTTTTTTTTTTTGACACGGGGTCTCAATATGTAGTTGAGATTGACCTGGAACTCACTATGTAGCCCAGGCTGGTCTTGAACTCACAGTGATCCTCCTGCCTCAGCCTCCTGAGTACTGGGATTACAGGTGTGTGCCACCACGCCTGGCTCTGGCTCTTTTTCCTTGCAAAGTTTATTGTATTTTTTTTGAGGGTGCTTTTTTTTTTTCCCTTTCTTTTTGAGATGGAATGTAGGTATGTTACCCAGGCTGGTTTTAAACTTGTGATCCTCCTGCGTCTGCTTCTTCAGTAACTGGATTACGAGTGTATGTCATCGATCCCAAATCTGTTACTTCTGATCAGGAGAAAAGAGATAAATAGAACCTGTTAAAAAAGAGTGAATCCTGTTGGAGGGCTCTGTATTTATTTGGGCTCCTGTCAGTCTCATTGTACTCGCTAGCTTTCAAGAGACCCTCATTTTCCGGGTGTTCGCACAACTCCTTTGAAGCTTTTGTTCTTGGAGTGAGGTTGTGTTTTTTTTTGCCTTTGGTAGTTATACATTTGCCACCTTATACAGAGGAATTGCCTACAGTTTGGGAGAATAGATGAGATGGGTGTGCCACAGTATTTTCTGCCCAATATTAGTCTCTTCCAAGAAAAAGGAGGAGGAGTTCCACACAAAATTGATATGTAACGGTGCCTGTCTGTAATCCTAACTATTCAGGAGGCTGAGGTCCAAAGATCACAAGTTTGAGGCCAACCTGGTCAATTTAGGGAGATCCCATCTCAGAATAAAACTGGCTGGAAATGTAGCTCAGTGCTAGACCCTGGGCTCTGTTTCTAGAATTACAACCCTATTTCCCCCTAAGAAAGGAGAAAGGAGGAGGTTTACTGTTGCCTCCTTGAGGTGACTTACAATGCATATAGCATAGTGAAGGTTCTGAGAATCCCTGCGTTAAAGAAATCTATTCTAGTGCTTCCAGATTTACTTAACCATGTATCTTCCTCCACCAAGTTATTTTTTGTTTTATGGTATGAGGAAATACTTTATGGCATGCTGGGCTGATGACTCAAAATATTCTATGTATTATGTTTACCTGGAGATTTTTTTTTTTAGGCAAGGTCTGTCTGTGTAGTTATGTAGTTCAGGCTGGTCTTAAACTCATTGTTTAGCCCACCTGGCCTCTAACTCAAAGCAGTCCTCCTGCCTCAGCCTCTTGAGTGCTGGGACTATAAGTGTGTGCCACCACACCTAATACTGGGTATTGAACTCAGGACCTTGTGTTTGTGAGCAGGTGTGGTGCCACTGAGCTAAATCCCCAGTCCCAATTTATTTTTTCTTAAAGTGCAGATTCTTAGTGTTTTCCTACCCCTGTGCTTTGGGTTGGACACTTTGCTGTGGGGTTGTCCTTGTTATTGCAGGATGCTAAGTAGCAAATCTGGTCTCTGTTCCCTGGACACCACCAGCCTCCTCCTCTCTGTTAACAAGTGGGACTGTGAAAAGTTGCACCAGATGTTCCCTGGCCAGCAAAACTGCCCTTGGTTGGGGACCAGGGTTGAAAATCAGTGTTCTAGACCTGCCAGGTTACAGCTGCCAGTGGGAGGCCGAGTTGTGTGCAAAACTTTTATGAGGGATTTTCCTATAGCCAGAATCAGAGAAAAAGAGAAAAAAAGTTTTTTACTGGATTTTCTTTGTAAAACTTTAGATTTCTTTTTTTTTTAAATTGACAACCTGACTTCTAGAGTATAAGTACATGAACTTTGCATGTTTGATGTCCGTATTGGAATTGAAATTTTGATGGAGGATCAGGCAGGCAGTGGCTTCAGAGAGCCTTCCCTGTGCCTCTGTGTCCCTGTCTCCTCCCTAGGCAGTGCTGGCGCTAGCAGCCTCCTGGACCTCCCGACAAGTTGGCGAGCGCACGCTCACAGGGATCGTCATTGACAGCGGAGATGGAGTCACCCACGTCATCCCAGTGGTAAGGCCGCTAGTTCATATATCACTCTCTGAGACTTCACACCTGCTTTGAGGTAAGGGAAGAAAGAAGAAACCCAACACCTTCTATAATTAAAAATATCATTTAAAAAGTGATACTTAGTAAAGGTAACAGGAGTTTTAAAGACCCAGGAGTCTTACTTTTCTCATTGCTGAGGCAAAATACTCAACATCCAAAGGAGGAAAGGTTTATTTTTCCTCCGGGTTTGTAGAGGTTTCAGTCCAAAGCATTTCCAGAGCAGGGCAGTGATGGTAGGGGGACATCACAGTGGAGAAACAGTTCATGGTGTGGCAAACGGAAGGCAGCAGCAGCAGCCAAGTAGGAGCAGCAGCAGCAGCAACCTTGCCTTCTTTATGTCCCTTTTAAATTCCATCCAGGCTGGAAGTCTGTTGATTGGTGTGACCCATAGCCAGGGTGGGGCTTTTATCATCTACATCAGTAAGTCCCAGTGTCACATACCCTAGATCAGCCACCTTTGAAAAGGTGCGTGAGGCTTTGGGGAATATCTAGATACAAGCTATAACACCAGATGTATGACAAAGAGTGCATAAGATGACCAATATTTGGGCAGTTTTAAAATTATTATAGCACATTTCTGCAGTCATCAGGTCGGTGGTTGCTTGGGATTTTCTGGGCCTCTGCTTGATTTCCAGTGTATATAGCCTCAACCCCACACATATTTCCTGGTTTATAATTCTGAGCTGTGGGGGAGCTGTAGGTGTGGTGCATGCCCATCTGATGTCTCTGCAAAAGGGGCTGGCTAGTCCTCTCATGCTGTAGAGGACCTGCTTATTGATTTTCAGTTTTAGAGCTAAGAAGGAGAGAGTGTGCATTTTGACTTTTAGAAGGCTCTACAACACCACTTTCTGGTTTTATTTTTTTAAATGTTAGAGAAGTAACTCCTAGGGCCAGGGATTTAGCTTAGGCAGGTGCTGTGCCTGCCTTGTAAGCACAAGGTCCTGAGTTTGATTTCTGGTACTGGGGAAATACAATTTAAAAAAAAATAGAGAAGTGACTCCTAATTCAGAGTTTAGGAGACCTTTGTAGGTCCATTGGATGTGGTCCAATGGATAGTGGATGAAATTACTTAAAATTTATTTTTTTGAGACTCAGTTGGTATCCAGTGGGAGGATAGACTCAGATTTTGATCGTTACCCATAGGTCTCTTCCTCAGTAACAATGATAACTAGTTATGTATTTTACAAGGGTTCTTTTTACATGTTCTGTGTATTATCTCTGTTTAAAAATGCAAATTAGGGCTAAAATATTCCATTCATTTTAATTGAAAAGCCATTTACTATTTCATTTCAGGAATTTGAAAGAAAGCTGTCCTAATTTCTTAATGCTTTAATTAATGCCTTCAAGGTCAAAATCCCTGTAATGGAGAAGCTTACAGGCACGTGCAGTCTGAGCCTGTGGGTTGGATATACCTGTGTTACAATAAAAACATAAAAAAGAAATTTTGCTATACATCAATCATATTCTGTAGTTTCTATGTAGCCCGAGACACCGCCTCTTCATTCAGTGCAGCCTGGGCAGGCCAGGTGTGTCCCTGCAGGCACAGGTTGGACATGCTTTGATGGTGACTTGCCAGAGGGTGACTTTGGGGCAGTCAGGAGGAGCAGAGCCTCACTCCTCACCTCCCCAGCCCACCTGTGGGGAGGAGTAGAAGCCTCTCCCTGTGGAATATTGGAAAACATTAATGCTATAATTTAGGGATATACAGGCCTCTGGCTCTGTCTGACAAGGGACCGTTAAAGCAAAATACAGACTGAGATCTGGGGTATGTTGTTGTGGGTACCCTGGCCTGTTTCCTTTTGGTTCTTTCTGACATAGGAAAGGAAAAGAACACATTTTACTTGGAATCCAGACCCACAGAGAAGATTGTCTTCTACACTGTTCACTGTGCATGTTGGTTTCTTCCCCCAATTAGAAAATTTGTTACTGAAAATGTGAATTAAAAAAAGTATAAAGAAGAAAATGAAGTTATCTATAAATCTACCCAGAAAACTACAATACACTTTTATTTATTCTTTTGGTGGTACTGGGAGTTGAATCCAGTACTTTTGCACTGAGCTATTTTCCTAGCCCTTTTCTTTACTTTTTATTTCAGCCAGGGACTCACTTAGTTGCCTAGGGTTGTCTTGAACTTGTGTTCCTCTTACCTCAGCCTCCCAGTTGGCTGGTGTTACGGATGTGTGCCACCATACCTGGCTCCACAATATACTTTTAGCTATGTGCCCTTCCAAGAATTCTCTTAGATATGATGTGCACACAGACACACACACACACACACACACACACGTCTACATATTTTAAGCACAATTAGACATATTCTCTGGGTTTGTATTCTAATTATATAATACAATCTTTAAGTTATATTTTTCATATTAATTTAACCATATTTTCCGCCTACAGTCATATAATCTGTGATAAAGTATTTAACAGCTACATAACAACTGACATGTGAGCATAGCTTGATGTTGTTGAATATGTAGCTTATTTTAATGTTCTTAGTGCTGTGATGAAGCTGACACTTGTTTAATGTGGGTTAAATTAATTTTAGAAAATGTTATGTGTGACGGATGTATAGGAAAAGTTATGAACAGTTTGTTTATTAGGAAGCTTAACATTTATATGCTCAGGTTGATGTTTATGTATCTTTCATCTTCCATCTTTAAATACTTTACTAATACTTGGACTCTGCAGAAAGGCACATCTCTTGCCTCCAGTAGTTAGGTACTCAAGAAAAGAAAGAGCCCAGGGGCTCAGTGGGCTGTCCTGGTGGTGTAACTGGTGACAGCACCATCAAGTATGGAGTCTGTGTCACTTGTGTGTCTGTTTCCCTCAGGTGTCACAGCTCAGAGGCTGTGAAGTGCTGCAGTGTGACACCCGAGGGAGCCTTGGTCTGATGCCGCTGGGGAAGAACATTGTCCCCCAGCCATCAGTGCCCCTTACCCATACATTCTCCGGAGTCCCAGCTCCTGAGCCGAGCTTCAGCTCATGCAGTGAACTGCTTACTGTATGAAGCAAACTCTTTTTCACTATGATAAATGGCACTATTTATCAAATATTTGTTGAATAGCACACGCTATGAAATAATGCTATGTACGTGGCACACAAGAATTTATTTACTGTTTATTGCAAATACTGTTGTGTGTTACTTGCCCTGTACTCTGGATGAAGGTGCCAAGGTTGAACCTGTTCACCTTGTCTGGGGACACTCAGCCAACAAATGTGGAGCAGGATTTGAATCCAGGCTGTTGGAAGCTCAGGCTGTGGACTTCACCGCATCACTGACTTTTATATTTGAGCGGTTTTATAGTTGGTTAAGCAATTTATAAAGCCTTTTCTATTTGATAGAGAAAAGAAAGCTTGTGTTTTCTATTTTCACATTACTTTTGGAAATGAACCACGCTGTGCTATGAGGTCTCCCCCTGCATTTCTATTGAGAACACTGTTTTGGTTGTTGATAGAGAGTCTTGGTTTATTGGTATAATTTTGAATTTTAAGTATTAGTGTAACTGCATGTGCACTCATTTACACAGACCCCAGTTTTGAGTTTGCACAGATTGGGACTTCGTACATGCAGGGGCAGGTGGGTGATGAAGCAAAACACCCCTGGTCTGGTGGGCCTGCACTGTGGGATCACTCACCTGCTCTTTTTGCCTTCTTTCTTCCCCAGGCAGAAGGTTATGTAATTGGAAGCTGCATCAAACACATCCCGATTGCAGGTAGAGATATTACGTATTTCATTCAACAGCTGCTAAGGGAGAGGGAGGTGGGAATCCCTCCTGAGCAGTCACTGGAGACCGCAAAAGCCATTAAGGTAAAAACAGACGGGAAACTGGCCGGTTTGGGGGTGAGAGAGAAGTGGTGTTTGAGCTTCCCTGGTTGCATTTTCCCCATCCCTGCCTGCCATCCTCTCCTCTCCCAAGAGTGTGGACCTGACATGTTCACCATGGAGTTCAGTGGGCTGAGGATGTGAGGTACAGGCTCCCCTTAGCACTCTTGAGGCTCTGGCAGCTTGATAACCATGTTGAGCCACCAGCCTGTGAGGTATGGGGTGCCTAATTAATTGAACCTTTAATTAGCTGACATCACTTCCGTCTCTTGCGTTGGCTCTCAGGCTGAGGAGACACAGGTCACAACAATTGGGGGACCGGTAGGCTCTGCTGGAGTCTGCATGAGTCTGTGCCCCGAGAAATCACTTCACAGCAGTGCCCTTTCAGCATCCAGAATCACTAACCAAAGTTTATTAGTGCTATTAACATTAGAAGAAAAGTGGCACGTTGGTCCTTATTTGGACCAATCTGCTTGACCTGATGCATTAGTTTGTATTTCTCTGTACATGACTTGACATATATCTTTTTTTTTTTTTTTTTTTTTTTTTTTTTGAGATAGGGTCTCACTATGTATTTGAGACTGACCTGGAATTCACTATGTAGTCCAGGCTGGTCTCGAACTCACATCAGTCCTTCTGCCTCAGCCTCCCAAATGCTGGGATTACAGGCGTGCGCCACCATGCCTGGCTTGTCATATATCTTTTTAAAGGAATTTTTCAAATTTTTGGAAAAGATCAAGTTGGAAGGGTTGACTGGTAATCCAAAGCTAATGATTATATAGACAGAGAAGGGGGGATTTTGTGTGCCTTTACAGGAGAATTTCCATGTAGCTGTGGTGTCTAGCTTTGGGCATCTCCTTTCCCATATGAGTTAGTGTTACGCTGCCTGCCTTGCAAGTAGAAGGTCCCAAGTTTGATCCCCTGTACCAAAAAAAAAAAAAAAAAAAAAAAAAGAACCATATGAATTAGTGTTTGAGTTATAGAGGAGCTGCGGGGGGTGAGTCTTGTGCCCCCTTCCCACTGCTCCCCTCCCACGTGAGCAGCTATAACCAAGATGGGGTGAATGAAAGGAGATCTTGAGATGGTCTCCAAGTTTTGATTGACACTAGGTGAAGATAAAGGTGTCTATAGGAAAGAGGTTATAGATAGGGTAGGCTCCTGTCTTGCTTCCTTAGAATGGGAGTTTGCAAGGATGGGAACTCTTCAGCACTCGTGAAGTACTGGGCAGATAGGAGTTAGTCCCTTCCCTCAGTGTGGGAGGTTGCAAGGGGTCACAAGACTTTCTTTTTAGACTAAAATATTCCCAAGTTTTGTCCTTCCTTCCTCCTTTCCTTGCCTTTCTTCAATGGAAGTACAATTTGGATTTTTGATTAAACTCCCTTCTCCCCCCAGTTGATTACAAATGTGAATTAGAATTGAACCTCCTGCTGGTGATGCCCTGGGCCTCTCAGTCAAAATCCTGAGCTGGGTACCACAATGAAGTGGCTTTCTGAGCCTCCTGTGGGGCATTTTCTTTTACTCTCTAGCTTTCTGGACCCTGTGCTGACTGTGGAATCTGAGCAGGCAAGCTTAGGTTTGCCAGTCTGTCTCAGCTTGGTCATATCAAGAGCACAAGTTCTGTAGTCTCCACATTGGCTGTCCTGCTCTGCCAATGGGTTCCCTGCTAGTCTCCCCTCACCTCTGCTTGTGAAAGAAGAGGGCCTGGCTGAGCATTCTCAGTTGTCTTGCCTTATGTTGTAGTCCAGACCCCTCTGTGAGCACGAAGAGGCCTGAGGTGTATGTGGCAGGAACACACCATCCTTGTAGCACAAACCCAGAACCACTGACTCCTAATGCTGCTTTGTACCCAGCACACTGCTGTTCAGAGAGTGGAGCTGCCAGAAAACATTGCCCTGGCCTCCGAGCATAAAGTGCGTAATTGTCTTCAGTCTTGTTAGTTTCGGGTTAGAGCGATTGACCTGTCTCTCTTTGTCATCGTGGAGCTCAGGGCTGCTTAACAGTTTTCACCCTGTAGTCTTACAGTTCTAATAGAATGTATCAAAACCATCCAGAAAGTGCCTTTACCATAGGTTTCAGAAACTTTAAAGTTAATGTCAAGAAAACATCTGTGAGATTCTTGAGAGCCGTTCCTTCTAAAATGCATAATCGGCATCCATTGGGTGCTGGTGCTGCAGGCTTGTAGCAGGCTTGCCTGATTCTTGCTCACAGTACTCTTACTTTCAGAAGCCAGTACCCAGGTGTCCCCTGCAGCTGTACTGAGTTAGCACTGCACACAGGTGACAAGCACAGAGATCCCAAGGACATCAGGGTTACCTGATTCTGAGGGTGCACTTTGCACATCTTTGGCTGATTCTGGGTGTCAGGGTGGAAACCATTTGCAAAGTCTGTTTGGGCAGGAGATGCCCAAAGCTAGGATGTGGCAGCCACATCCTTCTCACTCTTAATTCCTCTGCCTGACTTACTTTTCCTTATTCTGTGGCACTGTCACCTTATAGTACACCTTGCTGTTTACTTGTTATTGCAGGTGTTTGTTGTCTCACTCTCAGAGTATCATCTGACAGGGATCGGGGTCTTCAAACACTTGTGCATCCCTTGTGTGGAGACACTCTGTGAGTGTGTGTCAGTCAAGTGACAGAATACCTCTCACCAAGTACACTCCCAGCACAAAGGAAGTAGAGAATACATTCTAGGCACACACAGCCAGGCATCAGGCTGTGGACCTAGCACACTCCGTTGATGAGTGGGTGTGGCCTGCTTGTCCACAGGCAGATGACAGTGCACTGCCTGTAGAGGGCTGGCAGGGAGCCTGAAGGAAGACTGGACAAGATGTGTATAATATCTTATAAGTGCCTTCAGACATTGATTCAGGCAGTGTGGCAGCAAGAATTGAAATTAATAGCCAAGCTGCAGAGAAAGAAGGCTCACCTGTCCAGAGACCCAGTGTTGTCACGTCTCAGGTGGAAGTTGGTGGAATAGGGCATGATCCACATCCACACATTCGTTTGGTTGTGTGGACAGATCTGATTTTGGGGTGTGTCTAATGCATGGGGGTGGGTGTGTGTGTGTGTGTGTCAGAGGGCAGAGGTGCTAGGTAGCTATTAATGCCTGGTGACATCTTTGTGTGCACATGCAGGAGAAATACTGTTACATTTGCCCTGATATTGTCAAGGAGTTTGCTAAGTATGATGTGGATCCCCAGAAGTGGATCAAACAGTATGCAGGCATCAACGCGATCAACCAGAAGAAGTTCATTATTGATGTTGGGTACGAAAGGTTCCTGGGACCTGAAATATTCTTTCACCCAGAGGTAAGATGTTTTTCCAGAGCATGTATATATGGAGTGTATATGGAGCAATGCTGCCACCCAGTGTGCATAAGCAGACACATAGCATCTCATTCACATCATCTCCCCGTAGCTTGGCTGAGTTTTTCGTACTATTAATATTCACAAGTGATGTATTTTTGCATTTCTTGCTTCCTGTCATATAGCTCATGCACATGCTTTTTCCTTTTTTTTTTTTAATTGGCATGTGTCAAACACTCTTCCTTCCCTAAACCCATACCTTTCCCCTTTTAGGAGACTCATGACCATCACACTCCATGCACATGTTGAATCGCTTATGTACCTTCATTCCAGTGGGATAGATTTCAAGTTATAGTTAATGTCTATTTTTTAAAGCTGCCTTTTTATTTTTTTGAGATAGGGTCTCACTATGTAGTTGAGACTGACCTGGAACTCACTATGTAGCCCAGGCTGGTCTCGAACTCACAGATCCTCTTGTCTCAGCCTCTCAGGTGCTGGTGTTACAGGTGTGCACCACCATGCCCAGCTAAAACTGCTTTTTAAAGAGTTTTTGTTGTGTGCTGTTTAGAGAAATGTGTAATGTTCCTTTTGTATTTATACACGATCTAGTTTGCCAATCCGGACTTTATGGAGTCCATTTCGGATGTGGTGGATGAAGTGATCCAGAACTGTCCTATTGATGTCCGTCGTCCCCTGTATAAGGTATAAGCTGCTTGGGTAAGGTACTTTGATTGTATTCCTATTAGTTCTTAGGATAGGGTATTTCTATCAGTATGCAGACATTCCCACTTCACCTGCTTTGTGGGGTTTGTTGTAGGCAGTATAGTTTAAAAGATTTTGCTTGGAGCAGAGATGATGTAAGTGTTTGGAGGTGGGTCTCTATTGACCTGGATTTGAATTTGAACACTGTTAATGTCTTCTTAGCACGTTGGCCAGCTGTATCTGAAGCTGGGTAATCAACATGCTCGCTTTGGCAGCACATATACTGGGTGATCCTAGCCACACATACTGACTGAAAGTTGAAAGCAACCCTCGAGCTTTCTGTGAGGTTCATAGTCTTGTTTCAGGAACATTTGTGGTCAGTGCTGGCTGTGATAGACAATTCATATTAGAGCCTGGAATGGAATCATCAAATAGTATTGTTTATGTCATGTTTTTTAAACAGTTCTTTGATTAACTGGAACTCTAAAACTAGGAATGAGAAGAATCTAGTTGATGTAATTATTGGATGGGAGTAAATCTTACTGACAGGCAGATGTGGAGAGCAGAGTGCTACCAGGTCTTGGCCTGTGGGACTAGATATGAAAGTCCTTTGTGTGTGTAGACTCGGGGTGGAATTTTACAGAGCAGAGATGGGCTTAGTAAAGAAGACTCAGATTTTGTTTTATCTTTGTAGTGAAATGTCATTTAACCTTTAAGAAGGATGAGTGTCTTAGATAACTTTCCTTGTTGCTGAGACAAATACCCAACAACCAAAGTTAAAGGAGAAAAGGTTTATTTTGGTTCCTAGTTTGTAGAAGTTTTTTTTTTTTTTTTCTTTTTGTGGGGTTGGATACTGGGGATTGAATTCAGGACCTTGTGCTTGCAAGGCAGGCATGGTGCTACTGAGCTACATCCCAGACCCATGTAGAGGTTTTAGTTCATAGTTGGCTGGCTCCAAAGCAAGATGGTGTGGCAGAGGAACCTGGCAGAGGAGAAATACATAGTTCATGGTGGGCACAGGGCAGGAAGGAAGCAAAGCAGTGAAGTAGCAAGCAACAAGCAACAAGCAGTGACCACAGCAGCCCCTTTTGTCCATTATGTTCTGTCCAGGCTACCTGTCCTTATGGTGAGTGGCACTCACACCCAGGGTGGGGCTTCCCATGATCTACTCTCAGAACTATGCCAAACCTATCAGTGGACTGATTTAGTCATCATGTACCTTCAATACCAGCATCTACACTCCAGATCCAGCCACCTCTGAAAAGCCCTACCTATGACTGCACGAGACTTTGGGGGACATCTAGACACAAACCATTACACTGAAGTAAATCAATGAACATTCACATGAAAAGACAGATATATAAGATTAAGTTAAAAAGCATCTTATAAAATTTACCTATAATTTTGGGTTTTATATAAAATGGGGTTTGCATATTTTTTGTATGATTCTTAAAATATCTTTTGGTGGAAGGATGGTAGTTAACTTTAACTTTTTCCTTTTTGTGTTTTGAAATTGTTTGACATTTTATAGTTAACATTTTTATAATTGAAAAATTTTTTCCTGTGTTGACAAATTTTTATGGGTGAAGACATAATTTTCTGCTTAATATCCTTAATCAAACATTTTCCTCCTGCAATAAAAGGTACCAAGAAAGGGACTAGATATAAAAGTTCAGTACAGTAGTATCTTTTGGTCCCATTTTCTCAGTCTCACTTAATTTTGGCTATCTCACCTTGGTAATGAAAGTGAGAACCATGTATACACTCTTTAAAGGATTTTATCATAAAAGGAATGCAGCTCTTCATCTGGGGAGAGCCTTCTCATTTAACTGCGCAGTTTACTTGTCCCATTGGGTTGTACTGAATGTGAAGTAGAGGTGTCTTGGACAGCAGCATGAGCCCTTATTTACCTGGCTGTGGTGCTGAGCCCAGAGAAGGGGAAGTGAGAGAATTACAGGCACTGGGCTCAGCTGATGCACCTCGGTCGTAAGTCTTTGTTTGAGTCCTGTTTTAATCTAGTTGAGTTAAAGAATTATTTGAATAAGCCAAAATGAGTATAGTGTTCAGAAAAGATAAGATTGTCTTTGTTTTCTCTGTGTTACTTGTCTGAGGGAATCTGCTTTCTGTCTCATAGTTTCACTGTGATGCCATTGTTGAGTAAAACTGCTAAATGTGCTAACCCTGAACTCAAGAAAGTGCAGTAAGGCATGTGTGAAAACTATGTAAAAAATACAAGAAAACTATGTGGCCACTGTGGGAACACTCAGTCACATATAGTTCATTGTGGTGGCCTGTCAGATGAGGCCACAGCTGTGGGTCGTTTCATGTCAACCCTGGGAAGGCTCATTGGAGAGAAGGGGCATTAAGAATGGGGAGGGACTTTGGCTTGTGAGGAGAAGATGAGTTTTGGGGCTAGGAATAAGGCCGTCTTTTTCATAGTATATTTTTTAAGGTGATTTTGATCTGAGTGTCTTCTCCCTTACCACTCTGGAGATCTTCTCTTGACTGTCCACCTGCTGTACGGACACATCAGTTGCTTGTCCCGCGGCCACCTTAACAGCTGTACATAGAGAATCCTGGCTTCCTGTTCTGTCCTTCCCTCTGATAAGCATCTCCCAGTCACCCTAGCTAGAAGTGCTAGGATGCATCAGAAATAGTGCGGAGAGGCCAGATCTTGTGATAGTAGTGGAGTGCTAGTTAAAAATGTCTTCAGCATGTCCTGTTTGGGTGTGCAGGAAAGAGAAGAAGGAATGATAGCCATAGATTGTCCTTATGTTTAATTATCCTGGGCATCAGGAGCTGTGCAAGCCAGCAGCTTCTTCTGGATCACTTGGCTGACTGGGGTGAGAACGGGATCCAGGGTTGTTTGTGATGGGAAGAGAGCTGGGTGTGGGGGTGCACACGGGGCTTAGGCTGGAGGATCGCAAGTTCAAGGCCAAGCCTGGGCAATCTGTTGAGACCTTGTCTCAGAATAACATAAAAAGGGACCAAAGATGTAGCTCAGTGGTAGAGGGCTCGACATAAACTTGAGTCATTTGTAGGAAAGTAGATGCACTCTGAGATCACAATGTTAAGCCAAGTAAATCAGACACATAAGTTTTGGTATCACATGTTTTTTTTCTTTGTTTTTTTCCTCATTGAGTTTATTGGTACATTTTAGGTGTACAGTACAGTTACATTCATCACTGGGGTCTTGTACCTTTACATGACAGGTCTTGGTTCTCATTTTTCCCCTTGTCCCTGCACTCTCTTCACCCCCTCCTATCCTCCCCATTTACAAACATTTTATTTCCATTTTTTCATTTTCTCCTATTTGTTTCCTTCCCTTATTACCTTTCTCCTACCCTTCCCACTTTCCCTACACCTTTAGCCCTTTTCTTCCTATTTCACATGGTCAATTATCTCATTAGGATCTTATGTACTATTATAGTTTATTCACACCAGAGAGTATCACATGGTTTTTCTTATATGAGAAACCCAGAGTATAAATAAAGAGCAAAAATCAAAGATAGAAAATAGAAAGTAGGAGATAAATCTTTTGCAAATAGGAAGGGGACCAAGAGATGGAAGTAGGGGAGATGGAGGGGGAAAGAGGGGGTGAAAAAAGAATTAAGACATGTTATGTACATGAGCAACTTGCTGGGAGGAAGGAGATCATTGTGTACTACAAACATACACTAATGAAAAGTAAAAATTGAAAAGAAAAGAATTTAAGTAGTATTGAGAGGTGGGAGGACAGAATATGATGATTTTGACCTTAGTTTTTGTCTTTTATCATGTAGCCAGGCTCTGTACTCTGCAGGAGGAGGAGACACAGATGAGGCTACTCCCTTAGCCTTCCTCAGGCAGGCTCAGGTGGACTGGAGGGTGGGGATCTGGCCTGAGACTTCGGTGTTTGGCAGCAGAGCTTTTTTTTCTCTGATTGCTGTGGTACTCATGGGGCTGGCAGTGGGGTTGTGTGGCTGCTACTCTTTGGGAACACATCTCCTCTTTGGTCCCTGCTCCAGGGGAGGTGGTGGCTGGCATGGGCCATTTAAGTCACACAGCCCAAACCTCATTGCCAGGTGCTGGGGAAGAGGGAACATGACATCATGTTTGGTGGGCACCATGGTTTCTTCCACAGCCATCAAGGAAAGGACTACTATCCAAAGCAAGGGACTCAGTGAGTGAATTGGAGTTTGATATTGAGGCCTGCAAATGCTCACTTTCTCTATGCAAACCTGACAGGTATGACTGTTAGAGGTATTTTTCTCCCATGATGATTTTAGACCAGGAGTTGGTGAGCTTTTTCTGTTAAAGGTTCAGATAGTGAAGTGTTCTGTCTTTGCACACCATATGGTTGTAGTTGCATTTGCCTCAGTTCTGGCAAAGCACTCATGGCTGGTGTGGGAGCCCTAGAAGAGAGTGAGTATGAAACTAGATGTTTGAGTAATTGGACATAAAGGCCGAATTTTACTGCATGCTGGCTGTCATCAGGGTTTGTATGTCAAGGTATGTCCTCTGTTAGTTCATCAGCAAGTCAGTGCTGCATTTAGAAAAGACTGAAAGAGTGACTGCTGGGCTCTTGTCACCTCAGGGCTTGGCTTTGGCCAGCATTGCCCAGGGCTGGGCTGCAGACTGCATGGCCAGTGTTTCTGCTGACCTGGTGTCTGGAAGTAGTTAACCCTCTTCCCAAGGGATTTAAACTTTGTGGGATGAAGAAGAGGTCTTTGGAGCCAGCAACCTGGAGCCATGAACTTAGATTTAAAAAGTGCAGATAATACATCTGCTGAACATTAGTGGGTTACCTGGCAAGGTAAGATGTCCTTTCCTGGAAACAAGGGTGTGGATTCCTAACCTCAGCTACCTATGTGCTATCTCCATACCACAGCCTTATTTGGGACCTGGCAGGAGAGAGTTTGGAGCACAAGAAGGTGAGAATAAAAGCCCCCCAACTCTACTGAGGTATAATTGGCTATAAACATTGTATATATAAGATACACAGCATGATGACGTGAGAT